ATCAGAGTGACATTCACATATTCTATCTGACCCTTCTGTGCTTCAAAGGAACATGCCTCTATATGATGTTCATGGTTTCTGCAAATGTTGATCCATCACTTCACAATAACATCCATATCTCAATCATGTAGTTGACTCGATGGTGTCAATCTATTCCAAAGTCAAGGCGAGGAGAATTTTGTCGTGGACATAAAAAGGGGGTAAATAATTATTTGTTCCAACACAACAAATATTGGGTCATCAGCCTGGGGCTTGGATTGCTGATGTCATAGTGGTTTGAAGATCGTCATGACGATGTAATATCCACATTCAACATGGTCATATTTGGTTCCCTATGTTTGCTACAAATATAAAACTTCAAGAAGTACAAACCTCCATTATTGATATTATTATTTAACTTTTCATATTTTCTATTTCAAAATGATCAACATTAATATTTGTTTATAATGATGGTGACCTCATCTTTACAAATATATAGACATGACAGAGGGAAATACCTGCCTTCCAACTTCAGGGCATATCAAGATCATATATACACATCCCAAAAGTCCATGGCTGCAGAAAATGTATTAGGAAAATTCAAAATGGACACTATCCTGACTGCCAACATATGCTGCAGCAGTGCAAAGCAGTATCAACTCACTTACTCTCCTGGTAGCCAAATAACAATTCTTATCACTTACGGGTCATTTTGTAACTTCTTCAAACATTCCTCAGACACATTATAATATGCATGAATTGTGTAGTTATGTTTTCAATGACAAAATGTTTTGACCTACAAGTCTTAATCAATAAACTTAAAGGTTTTGGTATTGTAATGGCTGAAATAGTGTACCAGCTTGATATGTCAAAGTGGTCAAAAGACCTGATGACTAATACATGAAATAACAAGCCTTCTAACATAATAAATAATATGTTCTTTCTTAATGACAAAACAATACACTGATTGGCAAAAGGAGATCCAATACATCTAAGAATGAGAAAGGTGAATGATACAGAAAATGCATAGTCAGACATCAAAACCCTACAATATCATCAACAACTATGAATTCTGAGTATTCTTATGACAAGATTTAGAACCAAATTAATTTACAGATTCATTAGACCCAAGAAGCAATACTGGGCTTCACATATTGTACCCATGTGGGGAATCAAACCCCAGCCTTCAGCCTGACAAGCGAACACCTGAACTACTAGGCTACCCCATTACAGTATAAGGAATTTCCAACCTACAACCAGTGTATTCTAGAAGCTAGGGACCACAGGATAAATTTCTACAAAAGCAAAGAGAAAAATACTTCTTCTCATACAAACAACTACAATATCCATAGACACTTGATTCACAGGCAATACCCCTTTCTCTTAATTGATACAACTGAACTATTATAGCGGCTACAAAGTACAACATACTAAGTCAGTTCTTACCAACACATCAGGAGTTCATCATTCCCAGATTTGAGCTACCATGCAGAAATTATAACCATTACAAAGTACACAGACTGGGATTAAATGCAAACTGTGATCCACATGTGACAAAGCATGAAAATAACAGGTCGTAAATATCACTGAGGGTATTGAAATTGACCTGTCGTAAAGACCACAATCAGTGTGGGTGTGAACTTCTCTGACGGACACGTAGTGTGAGTGGGTGTTGTAAACATCAGAGACCACCGGAGGAAGACAGTCCCCGGGGCATCTTTGACATCTAAAAGAACACCATGGGTCTGTTTACTGTCACGCTCCACAGGGATATATCTAAGTTTATTGTGTTTTGTTCCGATCCATCCTCTCTGTGCCCTGTTTGGGCGGCACGACTATGTGGCTATGTGCCGTGGTCACTCAACAGCACTCTGTGTGATGTGTTTATCATACTTCAAGAATGTTCCATTAAACTGACAGAATAAGGTGTTTTAGTGAAATGGAGGACTCTGAATAGATCTGAATGTCTTGGCTGGGCTTTCTAAAGATGTTTTGTCACTTCATGATAAGGAATGCTGGGATCATAAAGATTAATAAGAAATTTACTTTCTTCTAAGAGATGATAATTTCACTATCTTCAGCACCTTCAGTATAAATCAAATATCTGAAGTGAACCTTCTAAAGGAAATTAGAAACCAAATAGAAAACATACACTACTTTCTTTCTGTACACAATAATGTATCGAGAATAGGGCTGCGACGGTAACTCAGGTACTCCGGTCGGGTGGGTACTGAGTTGGACCTGGGTACACACTGGACTACCCGGACCCGTGGTTACTCACTAAATATATTGTTTAATGACAAAAACATCACTATACATGCTATAGCTCAGTGGTTACACAACGAGTCGCCCATGTTCGCATTTCTTTCTGACGATGCACACATTCCTTTTGACTTGTATATATTTGAAAAAATATAAAGCTTCATTCAACTTCAGTATACCAGTATGCATGATCTGATTGTTTGATACATATATCTAAATAGTTTTTGCCAGGACCATAGCCAAACAATTTCCAATGAGACATTTTGTTCCTAACTCTTGAGACTTACAGTGGGTACCCGGGTAGGGTCGGGTAACAGGGGGTCAGGTACACGGGTAGGGTCGGGCAATACCCCCGGGGGTCAGGTACCCAGGTAGTAAATTTTGACTTGTCCCATTCGCTAATCGAGAAACAATTTTCAGAAAATTCTCTTAATTAATGCATTTCCAATACCCCAAGTTAAATATGATGATGGTAATAAAATAGTTCATGTTGTCACATTTCCATGACTTAAAAACAGAGTAAAAAAAAGCTAAAAGGAATACAATTACACTTATTTGAGCTTCCAAATTATGCACAAGGACAGAAGAAGTTAATAATCTATTTGCAAAACAACTCCAAGCTAAAAGAACAAATGTAAATGCAATCTTTCAGTGTTATCATGAAGTGTCGTGATGAGAACAAAGGAGACCCTGTTCTTTCCCAGAGTGAACAAGTGCAATATACAAATTGCGAGAGCAGCCTCTTCTACCACCATATTGCCCAGGAAGATGAGGGTAATCATTGCCCGTGCATGACAACAATACATGCAAGTTGCATGAATAGGGCAGTGTTTATCTGTTGCCAGGACAACCATCAAAACTACTCGAGATGATCACCTGATTCTGTAAATGTCAGGTGACAATGAATATGTATTTCCTTTGAATATTTTTAAGACAATCAGGCGTGAGTTTTAAATGGTTTTTTTTATAAAAAATCAAATTACTTTTTATTTCAATTCTTTGGCCTGACCTTCAAGATGTAAAATAATGACAACTGCAGCTTTGGTCCAGATGCCATAAGACAAGAAGAGTTAGTTCCCCTTGACTGGTGAAGACACCAAGATGATAAATACCGGTCAGGTAAGAAATAAATCTTTCTCCATGTTATTAGTAACTATGCATCTAAATATGACCTGATAAACCTTAAAAGCAAATAAACAGCTTCTCTAACCAGTTACACAAAAGCCAAAATTGAAATTTATGAAGTTGAAGTTTCATAAAATCCTTCAAGTGATCCCCCTCCCTAGTACATAACCTATAACTACACACATTGTTGTTACATTGGATGAAGGTCACATAATGTCAAAAGACAAAAGAATAACTGTTTCCTGAACACAAGTGAGGACAAGAGATGTAAACCTAGATCATGGCTTGATGACCTAGCAAGCAATCAATGAGTGTCAAACAAGAGTGAATGAGTATGGTTTTACCCCGCTTTTAGCAATATCCCAGCGGGAGACTCCAGAAATGGGCTTCACACATTGTACCCATGTCGGGAATCGAACCCGGGTCTTCAGCATGACGAGCAAAGGCTTTAACCACTAGGCTACCCGACCGCCCCTTGTGTCAAACAAGAAAATATCTTTCTTCCCCAAGAACAGAGGCTGCAGTATGGTAGATGTGCTGCAATGTGATATCAATGACCCTTTAGACACTGTGTAAAGCTAAACAAGTAATTTCAAAAGGGGGTGAGGTCCAAATCAAGATCTTGCTGTGCAATTTGGGTGGAAAAGATCCCTGACCCCTCAAAACATATCTAAGAACTGGCATGTTTTCTGAACTCTACAATTTTAATGAACCGGTTTCACACACCATTCAATGCTCCAGTCAGCTCCAGTGTAATGCAGTAGCCAGCAAGGGTACACTTCTGTTTTCAGACAGAGTACATTTTTGTTGTACCCCATACAACATCCACACTGTAAGCCTATCTAAGTAGGTGTTATTATGTCTGCAAGGCCTTGTATACAACATCCACACTGAAAGCCTATCTAAGTAGGTGTTATTATGTCTGCAAGGCCTCGTATACAACATCCACACTGTAAGCCTATCTAAGTAGGTGTTATTATGTCTGCAAGGCCTCGTATACAACATCCTCACTGTAAGCCTATCTAAGTAGGTGTTATTATGTCTGCAAGGCCTTATATACAACATCCACACTGTAAGCCTATCTAAGCAGGTGTTATTATGTCTGCAAGGCCTTACATACAACACCCACACTGTAAGCCTATCTAAGTAGGTGTTATTATGTCTGCAAGGCCTTACATACAACACCCACACTGTAAGCCTATCTGAGCAGGTGTTAATGTTTGTTTGTTGTTTAACATGGGACTCAGTAATATTCCAGCTTTACGACGGAGATCGGTAAATAATCAAGTCTGGAGCTGACATGTGCACCGATCCACACAATTGGGATACAATGACATGCATGAACCAAGCATGGGTTGCTGAAGACCTATTCTAACCTGGATCTTCAGGGGTCCTAAGCAAGTGTTATAACATCTGCAAGGCTTCACATGCAACATCCACACTGGAAGGCTATCTAACATCTGCAAAGCCAAAAGCTGGTAATCCTGTGCTCAATAGCTCACATAATCAGAGTAGGACCAACCATCGTGGCCCTTGCATTTTCCTTCACTCTTTCAATCAACTGACATGACAGATGACGTAACCAGGCCCATGGGCAACTGCATTGTGCAATGGTGTTGACAAAGTGACAGTACCTGGTGCTCCTTGAGCTTCTCCTGAAGCTGTTCCCGCGTCCACTCTGGCCGCACCGTCTGGATCAGCAACTTCTTCTCCACCTCCGTCAACCACTTCCGCAGACAGCTCATGTCACACTGCAGGTCTGGAAGTAACAACACGCTGACTCATCATCTTGTTACATACAGGACTCAGGGGATATTTGTCTACTCAGATGGACTTAACGCAGAATTTCATCACTGACATCTACCATGTTGGTGAAAGCCCCAATCATAGAATGGTGCTGTTAAGCCAAGCACTCTTTCTCAAGAAAACGGTACATTTGCGTTTCAGGAATGTCAAAAACATAAATTTCCGAATTTCTGTTCCTTACTTTTCCCTGAAAAACAAACCATTCGGATAACACTGGTTTAAAACATTTCAAGTTAAGTTCAACAGAAACAAAATTCGAGAACACTTTGTGAAGAGATAGTTTTTACTTGATGACTTAGGCCTCGTAACAAATATTGTTTCAAAAGGTATCACTGAGAGTGTTGGCTAGTAAACACATTCTTACTAACAACGCAACAGGTAACTGTGATTGCATATAAACATTTTCTTGTTACAGCACTCTGTACTCAGAAAGGGCTTATCATGTAATAATCAAGAACCCTTTTGACATGGCAATAAGTTGAATATTACTAGGAACAATCTGTTCATGTTTTGTTTGTTTGTTTGTTTGTTGTTTAACGCTGCACTTAGCAATATTCCAGCTATATGACGGCAGTCTGTAAGTAATCGAGTCTGGACCAGACAATCCAGTGATGAGCATCGATCCACACAATTGGGATATGATGACATGCATGAACCAAGTCAGCGAGCCTGACCACCCTTTCCCGCTAGTAGCCTCTTACGACAAGCATAGTCGGGTTGCTGAAGACCTATTCTACCCCAGATCTTCACGGGTCTCTGCTCAAGTCAAAGATGAGGCGGGGGATAATAAACACAGAGGGATACATAGAGGGAATAGGCATAGTTCTAAACACCAAGCTATAACCTTTTTCAAAACAAGCAATGCAATATACAGTCAATACACAAAATTTTGGAAATCAGAACATTTACATTGTCCTTTCTATACTTATGGCTGCAAATAAGGTGACTTTGTTAACAGGGCGTAACAGTCAGGTCATACAGTGTACATGGAGATCACCTCGACTTGCAAGGATTGCAGAGAGATTTTATGAGAGCTTCAAAGCTGCACACTGTTGTTATTGTATGATTATCAAAATATAATGACTTTTTTATTGTAAAGAATATATATCTGCAAACTATTCCTGCACAAGAAGAGAAAACAAAAATATTGTACTGTATTATTTTGTTTCACATTAACTTGCAATTGAAAGGTTCAATCTTATAAGGGACACAACTCCTGTCACCTTCAGTTCAAATTCATCTGAATATGTGGATATTCAATGGTAGTCCATTGGAGGTCGACACAGAGATTATTGATGTAGCACTCATTTCCTTTTTAACTGTGTGGCTTTGAGTGAAGCCTGTTACAAATAATGAATAACAACAATAAATATCTCAACAGGCACAAAGCGATATGGATGTGTGCTTTCAATACATTCATTCAAAATAATTGAAAACATCAAGTTCCTTTGAGCATAAGATTCATTTTGCCTGATCTATAAACAATTCAACATTTACTGCTCAAATTTGTCCCATTATTCTACTCCAAGCCATGTATAATCAATAATCAGGCAATTAATCCTGCTGTGATCTGCTTCACTGCAGCCAGTCATGGTAACACGTTGTGTACATGAACGTAACTGTACATTTTAATGCCTACAATACATAGCATGTAGATAGGGATGCCTGTCTCCTTCATCCCAAATATTCATAACAAGTAGGGATGGGTGTTGGATGTTTAAAGTGCATCACAGTATTTTACAATGCACAAGGCTGTATTGCGATGCGTATCACAATATATTGCATAATTCAAATTTTGAATTCAGAAGCAATTTGAAACATCAATGCAGGAATTGAAGTTCATAAATGGAACAAAACGAGATGCTGGTACAGCATAATGTTTACTCATTCAAAAAATATGCAAGGATGCATGCTCCAGGAGAGTGATGGAATGCGAACTTGCATTTTGGAATTACGGAAATATTTTGAAGGTACATGTATTTGGCAGGTGTATAACATTAAACACATGATAAATATCACAATTTGAAATCACCCAATATACCAAGCATTAAAACATGATATTGTGATACGTATCACCCACAGAATGAACCTTAATTTACCGATATACCGGTTATACCACGCACCCTTAATAACGAGTCATAATGCTTAGCCTTGAAAATCTACCAAAAGGTGTGATTGTTGCTGTTAACACAAGAGGATTGTTGAATGGTTTTTGCAAATATGTAGTTTATCACAAATATCCTGTATTTCTTCCATGTGTGTGTGACCATAAACAGTCAAACACCATTTATGATTTTTCTCTTGTTAACCCAGTAACATCAAGCTGTAAGCCATATGGTCAAGCATGGCCATGACACAGTCTTTCCACATATAACCCTATCCCAACAGTGATGTTGTACAAGACAGCCAGGCAAGTTGTCTCTCAGAAGAAAAAGTCAACACTAGATTCTTGTATGTCTACATCGCAACAAACCCACATTTTTCTACAACAGGGCCTGCACACACAATCCATGGAATACAAAGCCTATTGTTGCAATATTTGATCACGACTTTCCCCAGGTTGTGGAGGTGTTATTTAATAGCAGGGAGGTCTTGTTAGCATTTCTTCCTTTTTTGCAGAAGATAATTAAGAGGACAATATACATAAAGATGCTGTCCAGTCCTGTGGCTGCTGTGTTTTCTATAACAGTTCGATATTTGATTAACAAGAATGTTTGCTTATCTCGTCTGTCAATCTTAACACGTTTCCCCAGGAGGAAAAATATGGGAGTGATGATAATATTAAAAACATTTTTGGAATGTCTGGTACTTCAACAACTGTGTGTTTGTTTGGTTGTTGTTTTACGCCACACTCAGCAATATTCCAGCTATATGACGGCAGTCTGTAAATAATCAAGTCTGGACCAGACAATCCAGTGATTAACATCATGAGCATTGATCAAAGCAATTGGAATACAATGACATGCATCAATCAAGTCAGCGAGTCTGACCACCCGATCCCGTGAGTCGCCTCCTACGACAAGCATAGTCATCTTTTATGGCAAGCATGGGTTGCTGAAGACCTATTCTACCCCGGATCTTCAAGGGTCATTCCAACAACTGAGTCCTAGACTTCCCCTTCCACAGTCCATATATTATGAATGTATTATTGAAATGTGCATCTTAAACATGATCACTGATGATACTGATATTTAGATTTTCACATCTCATTTCAGTGGTGTGTTTATGTGTAACGCGTAACATCAAGATAGTCAAATTTTATTTCAATGCTGTGTTTCTGTGCAATATGTTATGTTCTGACAACAGGAGAGTGTGAGAGTCAGGTTTAAGCCACAACAGCTATATGCATTGGTAAAGCAGCCTTCGAAATTTAAGTTGGTCTGCTAGCTCGAGACATCTAAATTGTACTGAGGACAATTAAATTTGCCATAATGGTAGTCCTGATTGACTCTGAGGGACATAATTCTGAACCAGTTCTCAAAGCAAAAATTTAGATGCACATTGGAACTAAATACAACTGAGAGAAAATGTAACCATAGCAAACAGGTTTGTTTCATTCAAGCAGGACCAGACACAAACTCTGAAGACGAGTGACATAAGGTTTACAATAGTCCTCTGGACTAGTCTTAAACAAATGAATTTCTATGACTGTCAAGTATTCCGGTCTGCACTGGAAAAAGCCAGTGGTCAACAATGTGAGCTGAAACCTCCAGTCCGATTACAACTGTATCCCAGATGCTCATCTTTCCATGAACCTTTCATACACAGAAGCCTGTGTGACCAATTCCTCAATTTAGTTGCCAGTGTCTAAATTTAAGCATGAAAGTCAAGGGTTCTTTGTCTAAGCCTAACATTCAAAGATAAAGTTTTAGCAGGTCCTCAGATTGAAATACAGTAACCTACGTTTATAACAAACACGCTTATAACAAACTGACAGATATAACGAACTTATTTTTTTGACCCAGCCATTAGCTGTATATATATGCATATAACAAAAGGGTTATAACAAACTAAAATTAGTGTCCCTTTGAGTTCGTTCTAACCGTAGTTTCCTGTACCATAGAAGACCTCAAGCACCAAATGAGGTTATGGAGACTTTCTCCCACACAATCCCCCTTGTGAGAAGGTTTAAATGTTTTCTATAAGCAGGGTTAGGAACCATGGTTCAGAGTTAACTAACATATCCTTTAACACTACATTTCACTTAACATACCTACAATAGCATGTTTACTTACAACTTCCAAACCAACATTGTCCTATTATACATAGCAATGTCTTATTATTCCTAGCAATGTCTTTACCCCTTTCTCATATTAATTCCCACTCACTTCAACCTCATTCTGATCTAACCTAACGGTAACACTGTAACACTGCAACACTCTAACACTTTAACAGTGCCAAATTTCAAAATCATCTAAAAAAAGTGCCTAAAAATTCAAAAGGTTATCAAACACACACTAGTTACTACAATCTGTACCTCGTGCTTATCAAGGACATAGAAAAAAAGCATAACGTCACATGTTTATCTGCAGGAACGTGCACTCAGACAGTCACACAACCCATAACCGTGCTTGACCCAGATACAACTTCCCACAGTCTTATCTGTCATTGTGAATTGCAAAAAGTCCTTCTTGGAGTGGTAGGACATGATGAATGGATGACAACTTATTTTCTCTTAAAATCATTGGATTATTATCTAGGGGGGTCATAAATGTTTGGGCTACTACTGTAAATATTTATTCACAGTTATTGAGATACAATAATTACATGTGCAAGCCTGAGTTAATTGAACGTACCTTTTGTCTACTTGTGTATACATACTTTCTGTATCACATATTCTTAATTCTTTTAGACAGAAGAACTTGTCACTCTACATCTTCCATTTCAAGTTATGAAAAACATCATTATACAACCATTGAGACTTAAAAACGTAATTCTTCTAATCATGTGAAATCCGAAGGTATATATTTTACATGAGGGGGGTTCCTGAAAAGAGAGCCATAGTCATGTCCTTTAGCCTTAAAGAGGAAGGGAAGATCTTGTGAACTGAGGGCCATGTCCTTTAGCCTTAAAGAGGAAGGGAAGATCTTGTGAACTGAGGGCCATGTCCTTTAGCCTTAAAGAGGAAAGGAAGATCTTGTGAACTGAAGGCGATGTCCTTTAGCCTTAAAGAGGAAGGGAAGACCTTGTGAACTGAGGGCCATGTCCTTTAGCCTTAAAGAGGAAGGGAAGATCTTGTGAACTGAGGGCCATGTCCTTTAGCCCTAAAGAGGAAAGGAAGATCTTGTGAACTGAGGGCCATGTCCTTTAGCCTTAAAGAGGAAAGGAAGATCTTGTGAACTGAAGGCGATGTCCTTTAGCCTTAAAGAGGAAGGGAAGACCTTGTGAACTGAGGGCCATGTCCTTTAGCCTTAAAGAGGAAAGGAAGATCTTGTGAACTGAAGGCCATGTCCTTTAGCCCTAAAGAGGAAAGGAAGATCTTGTGAACTGAGGGCCATGTCCTTTAGCCTTAAGAGGAGGGGAAGATCTTGTGAACTGAGGGCCATGTCCTTTAGCCTTAAAGAGGAAGGGAAGATCTTGTGAACTGAGGGCCATGTCCTTTAGCCTTAAAGAGGAAAGGGAAGACCTTGTGAACTGAGGGCCATGTCCTTTAGCCTTAAAGAGGAAAGGAAGATCTTGTGAACTGAAGGCAATGTCCTTTAGCCTTAAAGAGGAAGGGAAGACCTTGTGAACTGAGGGCCATGTCCTTTAGCCTTAAAGAGGAAAGGAAGATCTTGTGACCTGAGGGCGATGTCCTTTAGCCTTAAAGAGGAAAGGAAGATCCTGTGTCTCATTCAGAAGTTATTTCCATTCCGTGACATTTGTTGCACCTAACACCTTCGTGTACACTTACCTAATCAAGCAAACCTAAAGGTTGCCATTGTTATTCTAACCTTTTGCAAGTAGGCCAAGTCCAAATTGTGGAAAAGTCATGTTAACATAGGAGAGTGATGGCAAGATAGATGCAGCACACATCACTGGACAGCCAAGACTTGTATAAAGTCCTCGAACATCGTTTCACAAACAATGTTTCACTCTGTTCACTTGAATATATGGTGGATTCTATTGCGAGATGTAGTTAATCAGAATATTGTAGGGATGGAATTTTGCACTAGCCAGATAGCCCAGACCAGTTTTGTTAATGTTAAAGGTATCCTAAGGGCCTGTAGAATTTCAAACATTTTGAGGTGGGGTTTGTGTTGGTATTGCTATATGTTATCACTTTTCAGGCTGAGACTGATAGACATTCTTGGTTAATGTCCGTCCCTGATGGTGTACTGGTGATGTTTACAGAAGTGATTGAGTTGGGTTCAGCATCTCTTTGAAGAGTATTCTATCCTAGTGTGTCAGGTTAATGTGGGAGGAAAGCCTGAAGTGATTCAGATCTCAGAAGTTGACCACTTTCGTGAAATCCACAAGCATGGGAATGGTGCTAACAAACCTAGAAACATAATCGGGGTGAACCCACAATCACAGGTATATAGTATGTGCAAGGGTCGCACCTAGACGACACTGCCACCTGTGCCTCCGATGTGTACGAAAAAAGGTAATTCGATGTCGTATTTAGACCATGTGTTGTTTTAGGTCTTCCAGCCTTTTAATGTTTCTACGGCTATCTTTAAGTATTAGGTCAGCTGAACCGATAGGATGGTAGATACCAGTTCTTCATGCAGTCAACAGAAGCTGTTACTTTAGCACAAGGTGGCCTCAGTATGGATGCTGACTTCAGTTTTGGCCTGACCTTGATCCCCATGTTACAAGCCAACACAATCGGTCAACATTTGACTCACTCACCTTTAATCATGTTTTTCTTATCATGGCATCCATGTTTGGGTGCTATGGCAACTTCAACTTCCTGCCATTGGTTGTTAAGGAAGCTCATCCTCGTACCGATCTCATCCTTCATGTGAGGGTAGCGCAACAAAAGTTGCTTTGCATACTCGTTGAAGAACTTGCGACGAGGAGACCTTTCTAGCATTTCCTCATGGTATGTCTAAAAAAGAGAAAATGTTTCAGAATTTTAAGTACGTTTAAAATTGAAACTGTTCAAAAGGAACAAAAATATTTTACATAGCTTGTCATAATCTAAGACATGTCACTTAAAATTTATAACGTAATGAAAGTGTCATAATTGAGTATACATATTATCAATCAAAAACATAATGGCTTTTCCAAACTCATTCAAACGGTCTGCGTAGGAAAGGGAGACAACTCACCTGGTTCAGATACTTCTCAGAGAGACACATGTAGCTTCTCTTGGTAACAAGATGTATCTGATTCAGCCATTCCGTGAGTTCTCGATACTGCTGAAGAAACTCAGCAAACGAAACGTTGGGATTACCCGCGAAATCTTCATCATCCAGGGACAGGTCACTCTCAGTGGACTGATGAAACAGATTGCAATACATTAGATACATGTGAGTGAGTGAGTGAGTGAGTGAGTGAGTGAGTGAGTGGGTTGGTGGGTCAGTTGGGTTTAATGGTGCTTTGAACAATATTTCAGTCATATCAGTGTGTGTCAACTTAATGTGGGAGGAAGGCCCGAAGTGATGCAGGTCTAAGATGTTTACCACTTTGGGTATGGGTATGGGGTAGACAAACCTTGAAACAATTAGGGGAAGAGTGCCAGAGCATAAGATAAGACAGAGGATAGGATTGCTTCTTGGTTAATGACATCCACAGCATTGCTGCAGACATCAGCTTTTTCATTTTATCAAATGCGAATCTTCTTTAATCTGCTGTGGTGTGTTCTTTTGTTTTTTGTTTTGGTGTGTTTTTTATGTGCATGACACCAAAGTACCAACATAAAAAAATGTATATGTATAAAAGGTGTATTTATTGTTTGATGTGCATAATATAATGTTCTACTTACTCTGCATGTCTCAATGATCTCCTTGCCCATCAAGTATTGGTAATGTGACTCGATAGCCTTCCACAATTCATCCTTGCGATACTTTCGTTTGAACTCGACCAGTGAGCGTGGGGCCGGAGAGCCACCTGGGGTGCTGCTCCGACTCTCATCCCACCAGTCGAAGGCTGACGGGGACACAGAGCGACTGCTCATACTGCTAGGAGTATCCCCATTCATCTTCCGCCGTTTTGCTTCCGTCGGTAAATCCAACTCTGCAAAAGTATCCAAGAGACTATCCTTTCCGTTCTTTTCTGGAGTGACCACATGGATCTCGAAAACACCACCCTTAGCAAGTTCCACTTGCTGCAAGGGCTCCATGACTCGCTTTTGATTACTGCTTCCTAAAACCTTTGATATAAGCTCAAAATGATGAGACCCTGGGTTTAAATCAGTCTCATGATGGTCATGCTTAATCCTGTATCCCGGAGAGGGTGGGATGTTCTCCTTCCCTCTCTCCACCAACACTTCAGCTCCTGCTGACCTTGACCCTACTGACCTTGACCCATTTTTGACACCATCTAGGAACCGTGGGGACAACCTCAGTTGTGTTAATCCCTCAGACCTGGGCCGGTCAGGAAAGTAACAAACATCCACATCTCTGTAAGTTGGCTTGTTTGGGCTGAGTTGATCCCAAAAAAGCCTTCTCTCGGTGTCTTCAACCTCTGGCACGAATAATCGCGTTGGAGTGCTAAGATTCCCACCTTGTAGCGGGGAGGAGTGTGCACTAAGTTTGTAGAGTTTGTCGCTGTATGTATCCCACAGATAGACCAAATTATCTAGGTCCACCTCCAAGACAATATTTGAGTGCTGTCGAAGGTAGCGCTGTCCACGGTCCACTACCAAGTCCACAGCTTCTCTCTGGTCATACGCCTCTGTCAGTATACTCTGAAATATAAAAGATTCCTATAAGTATCCAGGTCACAAATATCAACCAATGTCTATGTCAATAAGATCAACATTATCACAGATATACAATTAGTGAGCGAGTCAAGTTTCACATCGCTGTTATGCTGAACTACCGTATTCCACATACTAAGCACTCCACTCTAATAAGCGCCCACAGTGACATGTGCTAATATATTGGCTAGTGAAATATCCCAATTAGCACCCCTTCCAATTGATCAATGGACACAAAACGTATTTATTCTTGTATAATACACACTCGTGTGTAATATGCACCCTTAATAAGGGGCAATTAAGGTCTGGACAAAATATATCTTTCGTGTATAATACGCACAGACTTTTCTTTTGTATCATTTCAGGCTGTCAGTATCAACCACAAAATCTATGATCTTTCAATATTCTGATAAGAGCCCCCTATTTCTGATTTTGAGATCGTCCTGGGCGTTTAATACGTCGAATACGGTATCCAATAATGGGACACCAAGACTTGGCCTTACACATTGGACAATACGGGGAATATAACCCTGCTCTTCAGCATAGTGAATCAATGCCTTATTCACTTGGGACCCATCACATTTCATGGAATACAGAATATCATAATCAGGCAATTCATGTTTCTGAAGACAAAGGTATTTCTGACAATAAAGGAAATATTTCCCTTTTTGCATCAGATTTTACTCATCATTATACAAGCCATGCATCACGTATAAACCTTGTGTATCAGGGATGGACTTTCACACACTTTCTTTACTCTCTTCAACATCTTTCTTTCTTCACAGTTGAGTTAATGACACATGGTGAGTCTGTTTTTCAAGAACAAAACCCATTTTGACAATTTTGAAATAATTCTTCAAATGAGTTTTTAGAATTGGACTTGATAGCATTGCATTCAAATGGAGATCAAACCTTTATGGATAAAGGATTCGGAACATTATATTAAAATGTGGTCTCAAACAGGTCAAAAAGTTCAAATTTCTCTCATCCAGAATAAATTTCTAAGAAAATATATTATAATAGCCTATTGGTGCAGTATTCCAAATATGTATTTCTTCTTTTATATCCTAATAAGGGAAACATACAAACATATGAGAACAACATCCAACACTGTCCATTCTTCTAACATACATATGAAAACGAAGCTGGTGCTATTTGAGGAAGGTCGTGTCTTTATCAGTATAAACAGAATTTAGATAACCAGTCTGTCACTTCTGTAAAAACAATTCCAAAAGTAAATAAAAACCATTCGATAACTCTGCCTGCATATTTACTGAGGCCAAATCAGTTGTGTGCTAATGTGAACAACAAATGTTGCAATTTACATGACAGTATCAAAGATCAGTTGTTCATCAGAATTTACACGAAAAATCAAAGTCAGTTGTTGAGGGAGATCTATTCCGCACAAAGAATGCCTAATTGTTCGCGTTTCAACATGAAAATACACTTCCACAGTGCATCAAAACAATGGCTCTAAATGTAAACATTTTCTGAAACAGATTTAGCGAAAAACGTGCAATTCAGTGAGGGAGTTAAAAAACTAAATAACTCGAATTACCAAAGTAAGCACTTCATTTAATAACACTAGTAAAAAAGCAATATGTTATGCATGATTCAAATAGGCATCATTGCGAGAAGCAAAACTTAGCCATCAATGCCCTTAATACTTGAACCCATCTTGCAAGCAATGGTGAGACAATTGTACTCCCTTCCGTTTTAAGCGGAATGACAAAAAGTGGCGCATTTCTCCACAGTGTCATACAGTGTAGGAGAAGTGTTTGCTGTTTCACCTTGTGAGATTCCTGACTGAAATAAACATGCTCTGGCTGAGTGGGTCTGTAGACAGGAGATTTGCTGTGATTATGTCACATATCTCTTAAGCCTCTTACGTTTCTCTTGCATAACATGGTTCGCCTTTTGTGTGTATTACCAATGGAAAACATCAACAGTTTTGACCAACCTCTACGAATTTCTTTGTGGCCATCTAAGCACTTGAAGTTATCAGCTTGTTAATTCTCAGATAAACAATGAGTTTCTTAAACATGTTATCAACTGGAACAATATGACGATACTTACTTATCAGGTGATAATAACTGGTAATATCTCACACTTGATAACCTAAGTTGATAACAAAATACTTTTGAAAATATTTTATCTTATTTCAAGACATAATCAATATATACATAACCCTAAACACATGAATACTTCCTGAGAATAACTGAATTCTTGAGAAAAATATCTATCTTAAACAATTAACAATAAAAAATAACCAGCATGTGTACAAGATTCATCATCCTTAATTTTGAATACAATTAGTTAATATTGAATATAATTCTAACAAAGTATTACATTCATCTCCAAATACATATTAGTATCTTTAATAACAATGATACAGATTTCCAAACAGCAAGACCATGTTTATTTTTTAGAGATAAATTAAAATTCAGAATTTTTCAAAAGAATCAACAAGACTCACCAGTGATTATGTATACAGATCCATAAGAATACTAAATGGAGAATGAGTCTACAACGTGAGAATCATTTGCAAATAGTACATGTAAGCACATTCTTCTCTGTGAGACTAGTGTTCCCCTTATCCAACAGCCCTCTACTGCTGGCTGCACCGTGTCTGGTATACTCCATGACATCAGTGAATGTAACCAGAGCTTCACAGTAATAGGGGGGATGGCATTTACAGATTTAGAAGTGACAAGGCAACTTCAGGAAATGCACAATACAGCCCGAAGTTCAATGTGCATGCTAGTTTCCTGTTTGACATAACATAACTCTAACAGTCAGGAAATGTGTAATGTTGAAAATGCATGACTTGTGACTCAATTTGAAGATAAATTCCATGATCTTTCCTCTATATGAACAGTCTTGAATAAATAAATATATATTGTCATGATAGCCATAGAAGAAAGAAAGATAGATGCATGTCTGTCATGATTATCATGAACCAAACGTGTTATCCACAAAACATCCAAAATGTGATCAACAAAATATCCAAAATGTTACCAAACAAAACATCCAACCTTGAGGACTCTGTGTCAGTCAAAGAGTAATGGTTGACAACCTTTGTATCCTGTTGCATTTGGCTGAAGACATTTGGTTGGCTGGCATCCATGGACTCTTACACTTCCATTTGTCAAAACACACAGCATATCCCAACACTCTAAATGACAGTGTCAGTCACTGATACTCATGACAAACCCTACAGACATGCCAACATGACATTCATGTTTCTGTACACGACATCCATGCCTCCTTCACTCAAACAATTTGCTTCTTCAAACTCTCAGCAGTCCACAAACTCCTAACACACATGGCCTAATGATAAAAACCCCAGTCCATTACATCCTTCAAGAAGTGACAAAGCAGAGCCTACTGAGAGATATCAGGTTTCTCCCCCACACTCGTAATATTATGTTACATAAACTTACATCCTGCAGTTAAATGTTCCCATCTTTGTCCAGAGCCATTTAGAACAAATACAAACTGTTTGAACATAAATTAGCATCTGGTTTACCAGTCTGGAAGCAGCATGTGGCATTGTCATTGTCTCTTGGATTTAATCCTCTGGGGTTCTTCCCAATCAGTTTTGTCTCTGATGTGGAACAGGGTAGGGGTGGGTTGATAGATGGGACATCTAGAGGATGGGTGAATAATCAATACTTTGAAAGAGTACAGTAGAGAGAAGAGAAAGAAACTTGGGAGAGCAAGTATAATACTTTTTCACTTTACATGTTTTTGTTCTGCCGGGTAAGTTTTTTCTTGTTGAAGAATTAAAAGGTTATTACAGCAATATACATTGGAAAAGCAACAATGTCAATAAAGATTTAAGATGAATTTCCTAAAACTCTAGATAAAAAAGTTATGCCAACTATAAACAAAATGGTGTTCAAAATAATATTTTAATCTAGACATAGCATGTCTTATCGCTTTTTTTTCTGAATTTTCACAAAATGAAGGGTTGACTCAACAATAAAGACAAATTGATGTGGTCTAAAAATTGCTACATCAGACGAACATAATAAAACATTGTACATACAGTACATTCTGAGATTCCTAACCCTCAAATCACCTTTACACTAGAAAGGAATTATGACTGGCATCTTCCTCCACTCCATATAGGTAGGTAGGTAAGTAAGTACAGGCGAGCCAGGTCTCCAGTGTGGGTGTATCCCTGCAGTATATGCAGGTACATCTCCACACAGCCCAGCAAGCTGTCTATTACCAGCAGCCTGGTGAGATGTAAGAGGGATCATCTCTTCACATCAAGGGTCGCCATCTATCTGGCCTACTGCATCTGCCAGGTCATCTCATTCATCTCACTATCTACATCCCAGAGGTAGTGGAGTCCTGCTGATGGGCTGCATCACATTAAGTCAACGATCTTATATAGAACACACTCAAACTGAATCCATAACTTAATGACAGCAAAATGGAAATAAACAAACAATTACGATTACATGAAGATGTAGATTGGTGGTGGAGGTGATAGCATTAGTCACAGATCTTATATACAACATAATCAAACTGATTCTACACCTAAATGATAGGGAAATGGAAATAAATTAACAATTACGATTACATGAAGATGTAGATTAGAGGTGGAATTATGTGTTAAACGTTTTTCCTTTTGAAACATGGGTGCTCTTGTTGTAAGTGCTGACACTTAGGATTAGGTTTTCCATCCTTATTCATGTTTAAGGGGGCTGGGACATTAATTCATGCTTTTGAACCAATCAGGGATATATTTTCTATTTAAAACACAAGTATTCTCATAATGGCTACATCAGACACACACAACAAAACATTGTAAATATTGTACATTCTGAGATTCATAACCCTAACTCTCAAATCACCCTTACACTTGAAGGGAACAATGACTGACATCTTCCTCCACTCCATACATCAAGTACATATATTTAGTTTTAGGTCGAAACATCCTAAATATGGAGCAAAAACAATTTCCAAGCCACAAT